GTACAAGTACTGCATTCCATTTTATGGCTAAATAGTAGTTCATTGTACAGGTAATGCTATATTGTGGCTATTCACTCTCTGTTGATAGACATTTGGATTGTTTCTACCTTTTGATTATTATAAATAGTGTGGCTATAAACATTAACGTACAAGTTCTTGTTTGACTACCTATTTCAGTTCTTTTGTATATAGATCTAGGAATGGAATTTCAGGGGCATGTGATAATTCTATATTTAACTGATTGAGGAACAGCCAAGGTGTTTTCCAAAGTGGTTGCAACCCTTTACATTCCCACTAGCAATGTATGAGGATGACAATTTTTTTCACATCCTCATAAGCACTTTTTTTTTTTTCACTGTAGTCATGTAGTCATCCCAGTGTGTGTGGAGTGGTATCTGATTGTGACTTTGAGTTGCATTTCCCTAATGACTAATGATACTGCATATATTTTCATGGGTTTTTTGGTCCTTTGCTTATCTTCTTTAAAGAAGTGTCTGTTTACGTCTTTTGTCCATTTCTTAATTAGGTTGCTTGTCTTCTTGTTATTGAATTGTAAGAATTCTTTATATGCTTTGGATACCAGAGCTTTATAGGTTTATTATATGCAAATAATTTTGTTGGGTTTTCATTCCCTTAATACTGTCCTTCAGGGTCTCCCTGGTGGTGCAAGGTGTTAAGTCTCAGCACTATAAAGCTATTGGCAGCCACTGCAGCTTGAGTTCGATCCCCAGCCAGGGTGCTGACCCACATGGCACAGCAGACTTCTCCTGTCTTGCCCACTGCTCCCCTCAGCAGTGTATTTCAGTGGATCTGCCTGTTCTGCTCCACACTCTGTCTCTTATGAATCCTCTCATACACACACACACACACACACACACACACACACATTCCAGCACCCGGCAGCATCTCTAGTCTACACCCCAACTCTGTCTGCATAAATAAATAAAATCAATCTTAAAAAATACTGTCCTTCAGTGCACAAAAATTTTTAATTTTGATGTTAATCTATTGTTTGATGTTAATCTATTGTTTCTTTTGTTACTTGTGTTTTGGTGTCATCTCTAAGAAACCATTACCAAATCAAGGTCATAAATTTTTACTCCTATGTTTTATTCTCAGAGTTACATAGTTTTAGTTCTTATATTTATATCTTTGATCCATTTTCAGGAATTTTTTTATATGTGATACGTAAGATCAAACTTCATTCTTTTAAATGTGAATGTCCAATTATCCCAGATAAGGAAAGTGAATTTTCTTTCCTTATTGAATGGTTTTAGCATCCTTGTCAAAACTCAATTAACTTGAGATATATAAGATATATTAACTTATGCCACCAGCACCATTTTTTTTTCATTATTGCAGCTGTAGTAAGTTTTGAATTCAGAAAGTATAAGTCTTCCAGCTTTTTTCTTCTTCAAGACTTTTTGTCTATTCATGTTCCCTTAAAATTCCTTATGTCCCTAAGATCAGCTTTTCTATTTCTGCAAAAAGGGCTATTGGAATCTTGAGAGGGATTACATTGAATCTGTAAATTCCTTTGGGGAATATTACCATATTTACAATAATAAATATTCCAGTAAATGAAATGAGATGTCTTTGTATTATGTAGGTCTAGCTTGATTTATTTCAGCAATGTTTTGTGATTTTCAGTGTAAATGTCTTACATCTCCTTGGTTGTGTTTATTCTTAACTATGTTATTCTTTCTTGTGCTATTGTGAGTGGAATTGTTTTCTTTTTTAAGATTTATTTATTTTTATATAAGAACTGGGGTTCAGGCTAGAGGCACGGGAGGGTGAGAGGATTCACCAGAGACAGAGTGAGGAGCAGAACAGGCAGACGGAACGAAGTACACTGCTGAGAGGAGCAGTGGGCGAGACAGGAGAGGTCTGCCCCGCCATGCGGGTATCTCCCTGGCTGGATGGGAATCGAACCAGCGCTGCAGAGGCTGCAGACAGCTTCACAACGCTGCTCTCAACCCACTGTGCCACCAGGGAGGCCCAGAATTATTTTCTTAATTTTCTTTTCAGATTACTCACTCATTGCTCAGGCATATAATACACCTGGACTGCTTAATGTGTTGATGTTGTGTTCTACAACTTTGCTTAATTTATTAATTCTAATTCTTTGTTGTTGATTATTTAGGATTATTTATGTTAGATCATGTCATCTATGAATAGAGAGTGTTCTAGTCCTTACATTCCAAATAGGATGTTGTTAATGTCTTCTTCTTGCCTAAGTGCTGTGACTAGAAATTCCAATAAAATGAACTGAATGGAAATGGCAAAAAACAGGCATTCTTTTATTTTTCCTGACTGAAACAGTACCTTACATATAGCATGTCTTAAACGGAGTATTCAAAAAGAAAGAAAAAAGGTGGATTTAACATTGAGTGACAACTACTTTCTCCTTGTAATTGGCTTATAAAGGTTAAGTTAGCCACAAGTAATAACAAAATATCAACATAAACACATAGACACACACACACCCCTACCCCTAAGATCTGAGACAAATAGGAGAGGAGAGGTTCTCGTAGCAGGTGGAGAAGGAACAATAATGAAAAGAGTAACTTTGACTAACAAAAGTTAATGGTCAATAGCATTTCCTGGAAACATCTAAAAGAATCATAATCCTCATTTTTATTTTTTAAAGATTTATTTATTTATGCATATAAGAACCGGGGTACAGGCTAGAGGTGTGGGGGTGAGAGGATTCACCAGAGACAGAGTGGGGAACAGAACAGGCAGATTGTCTGAAACACACTGCTGAGGGGAGCAGCGGGCAAGACAGGAGAGGTCTGCTGCGCCATGTGGGTCACCTCCCTGGCCAGACATTGAACTCGTGCTGCAGTGTCTGTAGATAGCTTCATAGTACTGCTTCTTAATCCCTTGCGCCACCAGGGGGGCCCCATAATCCTCATTTTTAAAGAAGGATTTGAAGCCCAGTCAGTCATGTGGGAAATGTGGGGTGTAATTCTGCTCACCTAAACTTGTTTATATTTTTTGAAATGCTTCAAGACCATCTGACTTTAAAAAAATTCTACCTTTTGTGTTTGAATATAAGGTTTAATACCTTATATTTTTAATTTTTGTCTTTGTAACCCCACACTTGGCAAAGAAGAATAGAATGTTTTGAGTGTTTTTCTCAGATATAGATGGCACTAGGTATTACATGGGTGAAAATTTTATTGGATTAAAATAGCAACGGACTGAAAAGGAGGCAGAATTTTGAAAGGGGAACATAAAGAGAAAAACATACAAATACATGTCTGTCATTTCCTTTGGGAATCTCTTTTTACTAGGAAATAGTTTCTTCCTACACATACCTATGAAGATAAGAAGGAAGATAAATCTCTGCTTCTTGAAAGGAGAAACCAGGGGACACATGAGTTCAGGAACAGGTTGATATGGGGGTGGAAAACACACGTAAGTGTACATTGTGTGGAATAAGGGTCAAGGTTCAGCATCAACTCTCTGGCTGTTCAAGTATCTTAACCTATTGTCTAAATATTATCTGTCCCAAGCCGGGGGATGGCTGTCCACACCCTCTCTGTAATCTCTTGTCATCTTATCCAGTCATAGTAGCTCCCTTATGCTGACATCCCACCTGAGCTTCAGATTCATTTTTATTCCCAGGTACCTGCATGACAGTTTTATTTTGATGTCTAATAGGCAACTCGGATTTTGCATGGCATCTTTCCCATCCCTCCACCCCCAACCATGTATGCCTGGCCAAAGCTCCTGAATTAATAAATAGTGCTACAGACAACCCAAGTGTTCAAGCCCAGACACCAGAATGTGGATGATTTTTCTCATTTCTCACTCTTTACTTCTGGCCCACAAGCAGTATCCACTCCATCTGGATTCTCTTATCGCCACAGTTCAAGCTACCATTATCCTTCGCTGGACCCACTACAGTATCCCCCCTCTGGTCTGCCAGCTTCAACTATCCCTTACCTCCTGCATTCTTAAAGCAACCAGAGTAACTAATAATCAGGGGGGCATCTTTCTACTTTATATTATATATCACAAATTTCAGCATAGGCCTTATATTTTTTTTTTACTTTTTTTTTTTAAAGATTTGTTTATACAAGAACTGGCATACAGGCCAGTCGTGCGCGAGGGTGAGAAGATTCACCAGAGACAGAGCGGGGAGCAAACCAGGTGGATCGACTGAAATACACTGCTGAGGGGAGCAGCGGGTGAGACAGAAGAGGTCTGCCGCGCCTTGTGGGATTCTTGCTGGCCGGCCGGGATCAAACCGGCGCTGCAGAGGCTGCAGGCAGCTCCAAAACGCTGCACTCAACTGCCTGTGCCACCAGGGAGGCCCCTAGGCCTTATATTTTTTAACCCTTTTCTTTGGGTAATTTGTTTTTTGGGTACCATGTTAGCTTAATGGAAGAATTAGAAAAAAAAACTTTTAGGATGTTTTATAAGGTGCAACAAGCATGCGTGGCAAGGTGACCTAAGGAAGTCACCCCCGTGTCTGTGGGGGAGGCAGCCTAAGGTTCATTTACCATTACTACTGTTGTCCAGGGCAAGTTTGTCATGGAGGTGCTCTGTCAAGCAGGCTTCTGAGGTCTCCTTGCTACCGAGAATCAATAAATATTAACTGGTCTGCATCTGTTAGTAAACTGAAACTTTTCAGGTATGCTTTAAGAGTCCTTTATGTTAATTCCTGCCCAATCCCATTCACCCATTCATTCCCTTTACCTTTTCTCCAGAGGCAACTGCAACTCCGATTTGCAGGTCATGCTTTTATATTTTTATTATTCACTAGGGCCCCAGATCATCCACCCCCACCACGCACATGTTTATAAGGGGAAAATGGATTTTGTGATCCAGGGTCCCATGGGATACCTTCTCCCTCCATCCCTGGAGACCCTGAGCTGCAGGAGGATGGGCCATGGGCGGGTGGAGAGACTTCCGGATACCTGTTTAAAACTTAGGAAGTGAGGGTTTTGTGCACACAATAAACCAGGCTTTCATTTTTTTAGCAACCAATAACTTTACTGAAACAAATGGTAAAACTGGAAGAAAAAAACTGAAACAAGGTATTGCAAAGGCAGTACTGCCATGTGAATGCAAACTGGGTGAGGAGGGGAAGGCACCGCACCCCCCCTGCCATGGGCAAGACAGTTCAGTCTAAGTCCATGGAGCTTTCACCCAGGGTGAGCTTGTCAAAGTTGTAATCGGCCATCATGGCATCCTGCAAGTCGAGCAGGTTGGTGAGATGCTCCCCCAACTCCTTCATGGCTCTGACTTGGTAGTCGAGGTGGTAGGTCTCCAGGAAGTAGCACAAATGAGGGTCATTGATATTAGTGGCCAAGTTGTGCAGATCGAGCAGGTGCTGGTTGATGGTCTTCTTCAGGTACAGGGCGCACTTCAGGGCCTTCAGGCCGCTCTGCCAGTTGTCGCGATCTGGCTTCTTGATGTCGCGGAGACGGAGGAGGCCGCCCCTCATGACCTGGAACTCCATCATCATCTCAGCGTTTTCGCTCTCTTTTTCTGACAGCATCAGGAAGTACTCGGCGAAGTGCTTCAAAGCCGTTTCTTCGCGATCGAAGTAAAAGGAGATGGACAGGTACATGTAGGAGGCGTAAAGCTCCAGGTTGGTCAGGTTGTTGATGGAGTTCTCGCAGTCGGGGTGGTAGTTTTGACGCACCTGCGAATGTTGCGCGAACACCATCACTGGAGGCATCACCACCGGAGGCACAGGCGCCGCCGGAGTCAAGGCGAAGGGATAGGCGGAGCGAACGCGCGGCTCACGGGGCGGGCAGCGGCGTCGTGCGTGAAGGCGGCGGCGGCCAGGGCCTCGTAAGAGCCCATGATGGTCGAGAGAGTGGCCGAAGATGACCAGCGATGGAAGCAGTGGTGGTGGCGGGAGCCTCTAAGAGATCCCAGGCAGGAGAGGCAAGCTGTGAGCCCACACAGGCTCTGGCTGGCAGCTGGCGGCAGGCTTTGGAATGAGGAACCAGGCCGCGTTGCCTAGGAGATGGGATTGCGCTCGTGATTTGCACGTTGGTGGGTTCAGGGTCATAGGAGCAAGGGTAAAGGTTCAGAGTAGGGTGGGGCCTGTTTGAGCTTTCATCGAACCCCAGTGGGACTGGGCAACGCAGCGCCAAGTTTCTGGTCTATCTAATATGTTAACTTATTGATGGACATAAGTGCAACTATTCTGGATCAATCACTGGCATGATTTCTTCGAGCATCATATTTAGATATTGTCCTGAAGTGACTGTTTCTTTAAATACAGTGCTTTTGTGGTGTCTTTGGTTATACTTAATATCACAAACTTTACTTAAATGTCATTGTCCTAGGTGACTTCAACACCCTTCCTAATGAGACTTCTGATAGCCTCCTCACTCAGTCCCCAGACCTTATTTACTTCAGTGATCACCTTCTATTTGCTCCAACCCACGATGGAGTTCACACATCTCTGGCAGCAGTGCACCACCTCCAAAGCCACAGTGACTTTCCACCTGTCCATCTGTCACTCTTTCTGAACTTGTTTCTCATCCCCTTTATTCTATCTCATTGCTCAGTCTTTCAGTACAGTCCTAGAAACACAGCCCTTCTGTCCTGTTTGGACCTCAGTATTGTAGACTTTCAAAGTTTCTTGGGAGATTCCATTGTAGATTTCACTGAAAAAATCTATTTAAATAGAAGAGGTCTTAATTTTTGCAGAACACGTTCTCATTATATTTCCGAGATGATTTAATAATTAATTTATCCTGGCAATTTTATTCCTCCATATTTAAAATAATATTATTATTCAATGCTTATATGTATACTAAAGGGTGATAGTGGTGTTTCTCCCTCATCATTCCATCCCTCATCATTACCTCCTAAGTGAAAACTGACACTTCAAAATGAACATTTTTTAAAGATTTATTTGTGCATACAAGAGCTGGGGTGTAGGCCAGTGGTGCAGGGGGTGAGAGGATTCACCAGACACAGAGTGGGGAGCAAACCAGGTGGATCTATTGAAATACACTACGGAGGGGAGCAGGGGGTGAGACAAGAGAGGTCTATCACACCATGTGAGTCACCTCCCTGGCCGGTGATGGAACTCGTGCTGCAGTAGCTGCAGATGGCTTCATAGAGCTAACACTTAACTCCTTGCACCACCAGGGAGGCCCCTCAAAACCAACATTTTTAAGGGAAAATAACAAACAGGCATGGGCTGTGACCTCCAGTTACCGTGATGGAAATGTACATAAGTATAAACAAAAGCATCCCATCCAATTTTTCTTTAATGAGAAATATAAAAGTAAATGCAAATGTAGAATGAAAAGGCTTCAGAACAGATCAAGTTTTTGAAAAATGTGACTTGTTTGTTGTCAGTATTTTTATTAGTTAGGGGTCTCCAGGAAACCAATAACTATAACTATATATATATATATTATATATATATATGAAATTTGAAAGTTGTTAACTTGTTAATTTCATATTATATATGAAAATATCATATATATGAAATTTGCTCATGCTACTATGGAGGCTGACAAGTCCCAAGAGCTGTAGTCAGCAAACTGGAGACCTAGGAGAGCCAGTGGTGTAGGTCCAGTCATAGGACAGGAGGCTTGAAAACCGGGAGGAGCTGATATTTTAGTTCAAGCTCAAAGGCAAGAAAAAAATCCTATATCCCAGATGGAAGGTAGTCAGACAGGAGGAGTTCCCTCTTACTCAAGGGGGCGGGGGCAGTCTTTTTGTTTTATTCAGGCTTCAACTGAATGGATAAGATTTGCCCACATTAAGAAGGGAGATCTGCTTTATTCCTTCTACTGATTCATATTTTTTAGGGCGAGGATCCCCCCCTCCGCCCAGTTTTATTGAGGTATAAGTGGCATGTAGCATTGTATTAGTCCAAGGTATACAGCATAATGATTTGATATATGTACATACTGTGAAATGATTACCACAGTAAGTTTAGTTAACATTAATCACCACTCATATAATCACATTTTTTTCTCTTGTTATGAGAACTTTTGAAATTTACTCTTAACAACTTTCAAATATACAATATAGACTATAGTCACCATGCTATACTTTACATTCCCAGAACTTCTTTATCTTATTACCGGACATGTTTACGTTTGGCTTGTTCATCCATTTCTCCCCTGCACCCTCCCTAGCCCCAGCTCTGGCAATGGCCTGTCTGTTCTTTGATCTATAATGTTAATTTACTGCTACATCATTTATGGTATGTAGGTGCAGAATGATGCCATAAGCACTCTTTATTCCCTTTTTAGGAGACAGTGAACGGTATGGGATTTTGTGTCAGATAGTACTCAATTAAAAGTGTGATTTCATGCCTTCCAAGCTGTGAATATTTCATCTTCCATGATAATGCTGAATGTAAGTGTGGAAATAATACAGACAATTGGAGGATTTTGTCTTGGACCTCATACTTGACCTTGGATAACTCAGTTATCTGAAATTTTCTCAGTTGCAACATGGAAAGAATAATGCTTTTCTGTGTGGTAAACCTCAAAACAAAAAAATTTACAAAGTAGTTCTATGAATTCTGTGAAGACTTTACTAACCCAATTATATATCAGGTTCTCTTGATTTCCCTCTCCTAAAAAAATGGACTTGAGATAAGGTGGTTGTTTTTTTATTTTAATCTTACAGGCATTTAATCCAAATTCTATTTGTTTCTGTTCATTTTTGTATAACTCCTTATACCAATGTGGGTAGTTGCTTCAGTGGAGAAAACCATATAATTTCTCTAACGAAAGTTTATTTCAATAGAAGTAGCAATTACCAATAAGCAATAGGAGATTTACTAAAATCTCTTATTTTGCAAATACATTTTTTTTTCATATTAAACAAAAGCTAAGACTGAGTGAGGTTTAAAGGCTAGCACATAGAATAAATATCGTCAGAAAGTTTATTTCGCGCTCAGCAAAATAAGCCAGAAAGAAAAAGAAAAATACCGGATGGTCTCACTCATAGCAGGAATCTAGAAAACCTAAATAAGGGACCAGGAAAAAGAATAACTGTAAGAAAGAAAAAATCAAAATCAACAAACAACTATGAACCAGAGACACTATGGGGGGTGGGGGGCGGGGAAAGGAGGGATTGGGGTCAAAATAAGGGGGTTGCAATTGTATGAGGAATATAAAAATAAAATTAAAAAAATAAAAGTTTATTTCTTAGCTTTATTTCTTTGTACCTTTTTAGTGCTATTCTTCCTTATCCCCTCCTTCCACCTTTCCCACAAATATAAGCTATCAATTCCCTGAAGTTGGTAGTATTAGGCAACTTCTGTAAAGTAATCCTTTAACTCTCATCAAAATTGAAGGTTGATGATATGGTCTCCATTTTATAGATGTGGCATATTCTTTGAACTACAAAGTCATATAACTAAAATGTGGAAAGGAAGGTTTTCCAGTCTGTGTCGTCTGCCTATAAACGTGGTGCTATTCTTCGTGCATACTCTTTAATTTACTTTTGAAATAGACGGCAATCTACTTTATTGATTCTAGTCTTGGTTAGATGAGAGCAAGATGTCCTTTCTTACTTGTCATGGACATCATAGATTTTCCGATGAATTGCTGCCCCCTAAGATATTTCAAACTACAGTTTAATTTACCTGATTTTATTATTTATTTCAAAGATGAATGATTGAGTACCTATAGTGTTTAGAAAGAGGTGATTTGTATTAAGATACATTGGGATAGAGAACTAGCACGTATAATGTTAACCTTACATACACAGTAAATGATAACCTTGTTATGGATGTAATTATATAGATACTGAGAAAGGCATGTATTATAAGAAACTGGTAAATTTTATTAAATTAGTAAAAAAAACAAAAGAGGTAGTTTTTTTTTTTTAATTCGATTAGGCAAAATATTGAGATGCAATGCACAAATGAGAGGTTTTACCTCGGGTAGAATAAAGGGTTTATCAATGACTCAGTGTTGAGAATAAAAAGTGTTTCCTTTATTTTATCAGTGAAGTGTAAAGCGATGCTTTGAGAGGGAGGAATAGAGACATCATGTTGGATTCTTCATGACAGAAGTAAAATGGTCATCTTGGAAAGCAGGAGAACCTATCAAGGGATTCTTTTGGCTGGAGTTAAAGTCTCATTTAAGACCTCTGCATATGGGCCTCTCTGGTGGTGCAGGGGTTAAAGTCTGAGTGCTATCAAGCTATCAAGCTGTTGCTAGCCCCTGCAGCCAGAGTTTGATCCCCAGCCAGGGAGCTACCCACATGGCACAACAGACCTCTCCTGTATTGCCTGCTGCTCCCCTCAGCAGTGTATTTCAGTAGATCCACCTGGTTTGCTCCCCACTCTGTTTGTGATGAGTCCTCTCACCCCCCGCACCTCTGGCCTACACCCTAGTTCTTGTATGCATAAACAAATAAAATAAATCTTTAGGAAAAAATAGATTTCTGCATATATGTAACTAGTCAGCATGGTATGTGATTATCTTTAACAAGTTTAAACATTTGGGTGCAGGTACAAGAATGGTGATTACAATTTAACCCAGTTGGGGTTTTATTAGAAAATACAAGCGTGGGAAAGAGAGGCAAGAGAGTGAAAAGTATATATACTCAAAGAAGTGGATAATAATTGATAATAAAATCTAAGTTGGGAAAGTAAGGAACTGAAAACAGAAAGCATGATTAATCCTGAAAAAAATGGTAAGGGTCATTGGATTAGAAATAATGTTTGAATCAAAGAATTCATGGTTTGAGAATATTCAAAAGGGTGATCAGCAAGGTAAGATGCAGGGGTCAGTACTGGGGATAATTGAAATTGAGATTTGAAATCAATGTATTTATTGCCAATAACAAAGCCAAGAGTCTGACTGAAGGTACTAGTGTCTAAAGTGACACTGAAGAACTGGTGTCAGGTTTTGAATGGATAGTCTTTGTGAATATATAAATCGACAGTGTTAATGAGAGTAGTCACAGGGAACAAGATAGTATTTGAAATACTAAGAAAACTCAGTGAAAAGGGGAAGTGAGTGAAAGAAGAATAGTTGATCTCAACAAGGAAATTAGTGGGTGATGCAACCCGATGGCTTGTGTTCCCTTCTTACAAGGACAAAATATACATATATACTTTTATTTACAGATGGATTCCTACATTTCTGGAAATAGCAGTGTACTTCATATCTGTGCTATAAATCTATTTTTACATAGTATAAGTGTCCAATTTTATTTTCTGCCAAAGGAATAGCCAGTGAATGCCAGCACAATTAGAAAAGATAACTGAGGGCCTCCCTGGTGGCCTAGGGGTTAAGTGTCAGTCCTATCATGTGATCTCTGATGTGGCTTGAGTTCAATCCTCTGCCAGGGAGATACCCCCATGGCATGGCAGATGTCTCCTGTCTCGCCCGCTGCTCCCCTCAGCAGTGTATTTCAGTGGATCCACCTATTCTGCTCCCTACTTTGTCTCTGGTGAATCCTCTCACTCCTCTGCTCCTGCACCTCTGGCTCACACCCCAGTTTTTCTGTGCAAACAGAAATAAATAAATCTTTTTAAAAAATGGTAACTGAGAAATTATTTAATATTCTTTAGCTTTCCCATTGAATTGAGCTACCCCACTTGTCATATATTGAAATCTCATTGATACTGTAACTTATCTGGATTTGTCATTCCAATCTATGGATTTTTTTATATAGCAGAACTAATAACCTTATTGATTTAAGGGGCTTTACTATGTACTGACACCAGATAAGGCAAATTACCTTACCCTGGTATTTTTCTGTTCTTTTTGATAATTCCTTATTGAAGTATTATTGACATAAATTATTGTAATTCTAAGGGTACAACATAATGTCTTAGTTCTTGTGTACATTGTGAAATGTTTATCACAATAAGTCTATTTGTCATATTTTCTTAGCAACTTTTACCTTTGCAATAACATATTATTATAGTCTCCATGGGCTACAAATATCTCCAGCTACAAAGTTAGTTGTCCCACTACCTTATCTGGTATTTTAGAAATGTAAATAAGCTGTTTGATTTCTATTTTAAATTTGAGAGAATTTTAAATTGCTATCCCTGAATTCCAAAGTTGAGTGGCTGCTGAAAAGATAGGAAGCTGTTGGATGTTGCTGTTTTGTTCACACATCTATTTTATTCACTAGATTTGAATGGAAGTTGAAGCCCCCTACTATTCTGTATCTGAGGTGATATGGAAGTACTTTTATGGTGAATTTTTATGAATAAGGTAGAAAAAATTAAATACATTCAGTTGGGCAATATGATATATGAACATAACTAAGCTTTCAGCTATAATTTTGCCAAGCAGTTTCTAATCTGGCTTTGGGCTTGATACAATCCTAAAAGGGGAGATAGCAATTTCATTATTAAATGCAGGTAACATTATTTTGGCTACAGATCTCAACTTGGGGTTAACAAAATACTTGCTATAATTCATTGTAATTTTTCTGTAAGGAAAGCTATATAAATTTCCTTTCTTCATATTTTGAAATTCATCACACATTATAACTGACATAGTTAGGTCATTTCTTTTTCAAAGTAATTATTTTATTTTACAAGTAATGAATATATTAGGATAACGATGTGTAATATTCTATTAATATAACAATGTATAATATTCAAAGCACTTAAAAATTGAGAGTAGAATATGTGCATATTGATTTCATATTAGAGAAAATAAATAAAATGTTGATGGACCCTAGCTGAAGGTCCCTGAGAAATATTTATAAGCATTAGGTGTTAAAGTTACTGACAGTCAATGTACATCCACGGTGGGAGACATCATGAATTCTCAGTGATGTTAAAATGAGAGAAAACCCTTTTACCTGGGTTTTTAGCAGAGTCTTGGCTTGGGAAGTGTCTGGAGTCGGGGTTTGGGATCCCCAACTGGAGAGTTCTGATCCGACTTGGTAAAACAAGTCTGCAAAAGTGAACTCACGGTGACGTGTTGAAGCAAATCATCAGCTGGCTAGCTGTGACAGAGTTAAATGTCGAGTGCATCATTGAGGAATGGCTTGCCTGGATGACGACATGAATGGAGCCTTGGAGCAGATGTCATATGTCATATGCCAATGGACAAGCAAAGAGTCAGTAGGCGGATGCACCTGTCCAAAGAAACACCGTGCTGAGAATAAGTACACAGAAGAGAAGGATGTGAAGACACCGTAAGAACAGTACTTTTTTATGCGTGGATGTATTTTTTTAAATATTCTGTTTGTTCTTTGTGCTATAATCTCCCTTCTTTTCTTCACAGTTGATGTTTGACCGTCATGTAGGATATCTTAAAAGGCTGGTGTCATTGTAGAGCTCATTCACATTTAAGTTTCTATCATATTCTTTCATCTCTAGATCACTGTGCAGAATGATGAAGAATAAAAATACTGATTTCTCCCTAAGAAATGAGAGAAATAGTTGTAAATAAGTAAATAGTAAACAGAAGGCACTTTATTCATCTTCTCCTGCCTGATGATGTTCCTCCTCCTCCTCTTCCCTCTTCTTCTCCTCCTCCTTCTCTTCCTTCTCCTTCTCTTCTCTTCTCCTCCTCCACAATCTTCTCCTCCTTCTCCTCCTTCTGCTTTTCCTTCTCCTCCGCCGCCACCTTCTCCTCCTTGTCCTTCTCCTCCTCCTTCTCTTCCTTTTTTTCCTCCTCCTCCTTCTTCTCTTCCTTTTCTTCTCCTCCTCCTCCTCCTTCTTCTCCTCCTTCTCTTTCTTCTCCCCTTCCTCTTCCTCCTCTTCCTCCTCTTCCTCCTCTTCCTCCACTTCCTCCAACTCCTCTTCCTCCAACACCTCTTCTTCCTCCTCCGCTTCCTCCTCTTCCTCTTCCTCCTCCTTCTTTGCCTCTTCCTCCCCCTCGTCCTCGTCATCATCTTTGAGTGCATGGATTCGCATTGCTCTCTCCATAGGCGTCTTCACAGAGTCATATGTCCATCCCTTCCTGGCAAACAACCTCTCAATCATGGCTGGCATAGCATAGCCTTTGCTCAGAATGAAATCTTTAAAGGCTAATGTTCCATAAAGTTCTTCAAGAATGTCTGGCTCAGCAGGCTCTTTTCCAAAAGGACCTTCCTCTAAGACCTTGGGGTCAATCAAAGGTTCATCATTTATTAGCTTTTTCCACAGCTTGGGCTTCAGGTACCATGCTCCATACCTCATCTTCATAGGTTTGCGTTTGTAACGACCCGTTTCTTTCAGGAGTTTTATCTCCCAGTCATCCTCATCTAAGCACGATTCTATATCCTTCGTGTCACTTAACTCTGTATTATACATCAGCTCCGGAGGAATGTCACGTATTTTCTTTATGGTGGCAGTTTCATGGGTGCGTTTGTAGTCACGGCTAAAGTCAAACAGGTTCATCATGAAGTCTTCATCAATGCCCAAGTCTCCAAAACTAGCAACCCATTTGCAGAATTCACGAACTCCTCTTGGAACTCTTCTAGGACGAGAAAGACGTTCTTGAAAATCCTCTGACAGTTCTTTAGGAGACAAATTTAGACGACATGCCCCGGGCATCTTCTTGGGAGGTTCTAAGTAGGCCTCTGCATAATGAGTTTTGCAAACCCTCTTTGGGAGCTTCCTCTTTATCCTGGTGCCCTCGCAGTAGGCCCATGTGTCTTCCAGTCTCCTGTCAGGATCGACCACTTGCAGCACCTTTAGTAAGAGCTCTGCAGGTACATCTTCGTCCAGATCCGGGAACATAGCCAAAGGATGACGCTTCAGGCGGGCTTCGACGTCCTCCATGAATTTCTTCCGCTCAAACTGGGCTGGCGAGAGCGTGGAAAACAGGCCTGCATCCTTGTACAGCACTTTGTGACTCTTTGGGGGTGGAGGTTGCGGCACTCTTTGAGGAATCAAGGGGAGGAAGCTCTTCTTAGGGCCACGGGTGATCACATCTTCACAAGGTGGACAACCCTTCCTGAAGTCGTCCAGTCCCTCTTTCACAAATCTCCACCGCCGACTATCCAGGGAGGTGGGAAATTTGAGTACCTTGTGTTTTGCCAAACACTGGGAAGGTAGTTTATCTTTGTACCAGGGCTTGCAGTGCATGCCCAGAGGTATCGGATCCAGCCGCTCTGATTCAAACAACCGCTTCTTGTCTGCCATGCTGCGCCTGGCTCCCAGACTGTAGCAGACTTCCGAGGTTTGTTTTCTCAGCGCGCTCTTGTTGCTAGGAGACCAGGTGCTGCCGGATTCTTCCCAATGGTGGAGGCGGAGGGAGAGTAGGTGGGGGGACACAGGTGCACTCGCTGCACAGCCTGCCTTCTCCTGGGATGGACAAGAAGTTTCTTTTCTTTTTGTTGTGGAGTTGTAGTCCATTCTATTTATTTTTTGCATTAAAAATTGTCCATTCATCTTTACATGGACATTTGTGTTGTTTCCAGTTTCAGGCAATTGTACATAAAGCCGCCACAGATATTTGTGTTCATGTATTTGTATGCACATATACTTTCGTTTCTCTCCGGTAAACCTTAGCTATGCATTGAATGGTGGAGTAATATCATAGCTGTGTAACATTTTAAGAAATCACCAAACTTTGCCAAAGCAGTTCTTATGTTTAATATTCCTTCTGTTAATGAATGAGATTTGCATTTCCTCTGCGTACTCCCCAACACTTGTTAGGATTACTCATTTTAATATGGGCTATTTTAATAGGTGTGCAGTAATATGTCATAATGAATGCTGGTGTTAGGAACCTGTCCTGTGTTTTTCATTCATACCTCTCCGTTGGTGAAGTAGCTATTAAAATTTTTTGCACATTTTTTAACCGTGTTGCTTGATAGCTCATTAAGTTTTGAGAGTTCTTTGTATACTTTGGATGTGAGTCTCTTATCAGATACACGATTCGTAAATTTCTCTCTTCATCTATGCCTTGTCCTTTCATTGTCTTTACAGTATCTTTCAAAAAGCAGACTTTATAAATTTGATGAAGGACAATTTATCAGCTTGATCTTTTATGGATACTTTTTGTGTTGAATCTAAGAAAACTTTGCCTATTTAAAGGTCACACGAGCTTTTTCTTAATTGTCAAGATTTTATAATCTTAAGTTTTTCATGTATTTAAATTTACTTTTCTTAGATGATACAAAGTGTCAGAATTTTAACTTTTTAATAATTTTTTGTTGGTGAATATCTAATAGGTTCAGATTTCTTTCTTTTGAATACAGTAGTTCTAGAATTTCATTTTGAAAGGATGAACTTTTTTTCACTGAATCACCTTTGTAACTTTGTAGGTATAACTTATCCATATTTTTCTAGATCCATTTCTGGATACTCTTTTTTATTTCATTGATTTTCCTGCCTTAAACCAATTCCATATTGTGTTGATATACTTTGTATTTTATAATAACTCTTGAAATTACACTGTATCAGTCCTTCAATTTCTTCTTTTACAAAGAGTTTTTGACTCTTCTAGGTCCTTTGAATTTTTATAGGAATTTTAGAATCAGTTTGCCAATCTCTTCATAAATCCTGTTGGGATTTTTATTAGGATGCTGTGAAATCTATAAATCCTTTAGAGGTAATTGGCATCTTTACAAGTTTCCTGGCCCATGAGTATGGTACACCTCTCCATTCATATCTGTGTTCTTTCTGGTCTTATCATCAGTGTGCAAAGTGCCTGCAGTTACACACATATTAAAGTGCCAGTAATCTTAGAATCCATCATTCTGTGTCTAATTCTTTTCTAAAGTAATCTGTTTACCCAGATTCACAGATTCACTTTTTATTATTATCTGAAAGAAGAAAATGACTGCAGTATTGTAACTGAGAGCTCATGTTAGGTGTGAAAAGAGTTGATGCTGATGGTAGCATCTGAATTGTTGCCTATGTTTCAAAATATTTTATTCTGAGAATAGTTTAAATAACAAGGCAGATTTTTCATTTCATGAAAAATATGTAATTTTTACATGAGTTTAGACATCTACATGAAGTATTTCAAAGCATTTTTAAAAGTAGGTTCATTATCTCAGTCATACTTGGGGGAAATTAGTGACAATTCCAGTGGTCAACCATCATCTGCAAAAGATGCTCATGTAAAAAAATAGCAGAAGTTGTACAGGAGGGAAAAAAATTAAAGAAAATTCACGATGACAGCAGAGGGAACAATGACATAAAAAACAGGAGTAAAAAAAATTAAAGACAGGAGTGTTGTGTGGTGTAAGAATAATGCAAATCATTGGACTTTCCATTTTGCATTATATCACACGCCCCCCCAGTTAAGAAAACCTTTGTACCGGATCCCTTCTAATGCAAGGTATGAAAATTGCCACCAGGCAAGTCTTTACAGTAAAAATCACACACGTTTGTTATACTTAAGTATTTTCATCCCTTCAGTCTCCACTAAGACTCTCAATCTAGGCAGCACGCACAGTGCATCTGAGACCAGGGCCCTCAGGGATGTGTCACCTCAAGATTAAAAAGCAAACTGCCATTCATCCATTGCTTCCTGCTGACATTGCCCACCTTCTGACTCTTAATACCTCTGACCTATGCCCAGTGTTCTTTATAGGTTGGCTTCCAAGGGGGCAGGAGGAGGCATTCCCAGCAGAAGGGAGGAGCATAAGCAAAGGTGTCAGGGTGAGGACCGGTAGAGGACATTTGAGAGACTGCAAACAGTTGTGTTGCTTTTGTAGCAAGACAAGAAATGGGAGGAGATGAAGCAGGACACGTCAGCAACGCCAGGTTGGGAAGGGCGCCAGTGCCAGCTGAGGAGTTAGGCTGGCGTAGGGAGCTCTCCAAGGTGTGAGCCAGGGGCGATGCTGTTAGATTTGCACTTGGGCACATCACTAGGGCCGCTGTGTGCTTTCGAAAGTGTGACTTTGAAAAAAAAACAATACTGGAAATCAAACCCAGAGGAAAGAGATGATTGGTCTATAGCAAGGCGATAAAAATTGGGGAGACTGGCTAAATTTGAGTGATATTTCAGGGCAGGAGCAGGGCTGTTTGATTAGGTGTTTCAAAGGATCTGGGGAGAGGAAGAAGGAGTCCCAGATCTGGTGGGTGCATGAAAGGTGGTGGGGGACTGACCGGGGCCAGGAGCAGCAGCACCAGGCCCTTCTTTAACTCAGCAGTGTCTGTAGAGGTCCTCTCTCCAGGGTTGAGCAGCTGGTACTAGAGAGGGTGAGTTTGAGCTCTTAGTGATATATGTGTAAATGTCTGATGTGAGAAATGGAACTTTGAAGTTTGCAGGAGAGGAGGGGGCCAAAGACACCAGGTCTATGAGTCACCAGCTCACACGTGGTAATTAAAACTGTGAGAGTGAATTATCTCCCCAGGGAGTGTGTGACAAGCGAACACTGGGCTTGGTAGAACTCTGAAATATTTGAACATTAAAATGTCTAATTACCTTTTTAGAAGTAGGTAATACATGCGCATTATATGCAATTCAAGGGATTCAAAAGACATAGAGGGAAAACTGAGTCTCCAAGCTTGTCCCTCCTCGTCCCCCACCCCAGCTGTAATGTTCCCAGCTCTGGAGGTTACCCCCTTTATTGATTTCTTGTCAGTCCTGTCAAAGACAGTCTCCAAATATGCAAATATATGTGTGATTGTTGGGATCGCTTTGTTGTAGAAATAAATTCTAGCCTTTTACCCAGGCAGAGGAATAACAAATGGTACTTCAGGAATGGTGAGGTCAGGAGAAGCTTTATTACTCATGCATGAGGTCCCACACCTGGGTAGCCCGTAAGGTCTGAGCACCAGTTTAAAGACCAAGGGTTCCTTTTATGCACAACTGTGTCCATATCTGTTACTTTGATAGCATCGTTTTTCTGCAGGCACAACCATTTGCGGCAAAGTCCCCAGACAAGGGGGGCATGGCAAGGGGGGGATGATGCAGACATTCAGGGATGGCCTTGGAGAGAGAGACCAGCTGGTTGACTGCCCGACCTTGTAGATAAAAATGCTGAGGCCCTGGCCATGAATCTTGAAAGGGAAGGAGCTTTAAGTAAGCAAACGTGTTAATCATGCCTGCATTGGAATGTTCGTTGCACCTGGGCTGGAAGTTCTGCTGGAATCTTTATTACATATCATTTGCTCTATAATGTATTTTCTCATAAGTTTCACACAATGCTGTGCAGAGTTTATTCTTGTAGAGATAAGGTCCTAGTGATACACCCCTGTGTAAACGTCTGACACTCTGAAAAATAGACATTTGAAGGTTGCTGGAGAGGTGTGGGCTAGAGATAATAGGTTTCTAAGTCACCAGTTCATAGGTGGTAATTGAAACAGTGAGAGTGACTTTATTCACCCAATGAGTGTGTGTTTCTTCTTCTAGAAATGCAACAGAGAAAGGAAGAGAGGAATGAGCCATAGAAAGAAAAACAGGGAGACAAAGGGTGTATAACCTTAAGGGAAGTGAAGAATCGGTGAAGAATTATTGTTTTTTTTGTTTTTTTTTTTTTTTTTTTATAGAGGCATGTTTTTTTTTTATTTATTTATTTGTTTGTTCGTTTGTTTCGTTTATACATGCACTGGGTACAGTCAGAAGCGCGGGAGGGTGAGAGAATTCACCAGAGCCAGAGCGGGGAGCAGAGCAGGCAGAAGGACCGAAGTACACTGCTGAGGGGAGCAGCGGGCGGCAGGAGAGATCTGCGCGCCATGTGGGACCCTCCTCTGGTGGCCGGGGAGCAGCCGGGGATCGAACTGGCACCGCAGAGGCCGCGGGCAGCTTCGCAACCCAGCGCTCAACCACTGCGCCACCGGGGAGACCCCAAGAATTATTGTTTTTTTAAGAAATTAAATTATTGGAGGAAAAAATAAAACACTTATAATTGATCTTTATTCCAAATAGATAAGGGGGGGGGAAATAAAGCATTATGATTAAAAGGAAAGTGTAGGGTTTTGGGAAGTATAGGGCCGTTGTGTGCACGCATACACACACACACACACACACACACACATTTTTCCTATTTATTTACTTACTTTTTTAAAATATTTATTTATTTATACAAGCACTGGGTACAGTCAGAAGCGCAGGAGGGTGAGAGAATTCACCGGGGCCAGAGCGGGGAGTAGAGCAGGCAGAAGGACCGAAGTACACTGCTGAGGGAAGCAGCAGGCGGCAGGAGAGGTCTGCGTGCCATGTGGGACCCTCCTCTGGTGGCCGGGGAGCAGCCGG